AAAGTTTTATCCTTTCTACCTTGATGAAATCTGATATATGTTTTTTTTTTTCTTTTCTTTTTCTTCTTCTTCTTCTTTCTTTGGTTGCTGCAGGTACATTCTAATGGCAGAACCTGATCATGTATTTGCAAATCCTTTGCCCAATTTGGCGAAAGGAAATCATCCAGCAGCGTTTCCATTTTTCTATATAAAACCCGATCAAAATGAAAAGATAATTAGGAAATTTTATCCTGAGGAAAAAGGTCCGGTGAACAATGTTGATCCCATTGGCAATTCTCCTGTAATCATTAAGAAGGTAAAACGCTTCATTTTTCTACCCAGTTTGTGAAATAATCTAGCATCTTACTGAAGTGATAATGCTTTGTATAGGAGGGTAACTGTAGAAGAAAATATCTAGTGGCCTACATCAGATAGTTTCTCCCTTGATCATCTTAATTACAACTGACCTTTTCTCTTTTAGCTGTACCAATATTGTCTTAAAATGTCGTCTTAACCAAATTTTCTTATTCAGTCCCTACTAGAGGACATTGCTCCCACGTGGGTGAACATTTCCTTGAGAATGAAAGACGACCCAGAGACTGATAAGGCTTTCGGATGGGTGCTTGAAATGTAAGTAGCACCTTAGAAGATCTGACATTTTTTTTTCTCAAAAGATCTGAGATATTTTTAGTTTCTCTTTGTGGCCTGTCAACATACCCTGAGATATCTGATATAGTATTGATATTTATATTATTTCTATCTTGAACAAAGGTATGCATATGCTGTAGCATCTGCATTGCATGGCGTCCGCCATATTCTCCGGAAAGATTTCATGCTTCAGGTTTGATGATCTTTTTTACTTTTCTTTTTCTTTTTCTTTTCGTTTGATATTGTTTCAACTCACGTAACGCATATCACTTTTACCACTCAGCCTCCATGGGATTTGGAAGTTGGTAACAAGTTTATCATCCACTATACATACGGATGTGACTACAATTTAAAGGTATCTCTCAATCATGCACACGTAGGGAAGAGTCAGCATGCACACACAAAAACATAGCTGATTGCTTAATCTTATCATAGCACCTATTCTTTTGCTAGTGTTTATCTGTAACTATGGTACATAGATCCTGGAATTAAAAATAAAAATAAAAAAAATAAAAAAATCTATGCTTCCAAAAATTGTTTTTCTTTCCTTTATGATAAAAAAGTACTTAATTGCATCATCAGTTACCCTATATTTTCTTAAGGTATTCATTTCATCTGTGTAATCACGTAGGGTGAACTGACTTATGGAAAAATTGGAGAATGGCGCTTTGACAAAAGATCTTATCTTAGTGGCCCTCCACCAAAAAACCTTTCATTGCCCCCTCCAGGAGTTCCTGAAAGTGTGGTAAGTCTATTAATCTCCATCTTGTCAGAGTCTATTCGAGAAATTAACTGTTAGAGGTTTATGGCTAATTTACGAAATTGGAATTGGTTCCAAAAGTTATATGCTTCGTAGTTTTGACATGTTTTTCAGGTGCACGATACAAATTTATGTTCATTTAAGTTGATCATGGCTGCTTTATAATCCACACTGTTCAATTAGTTGCTCTT